CCCCGTTTTTCATTTCCAGGCGAGAGCGAGCCGTGTGCGTGTCGCGCAACCATGTGGCGGTGTAGCACCACTCCGCCGTCGCGAGTGGGCTGGCCCCGTGGTGCGTGTGCGGCTTCTGAACAGTCTCTGCAGCCGCCGCGCCTGCCGCCGCCGACGCCGCGGCGGCGGCGACCGGCCCTCCCGCGGGGGCGAGCCCGGGGCCAAGTTTGGCCCGTCCTCGTGCCCCTCGCCTTGCTTCTCCGTACCTTGATCGGCGCTTGCAGTTTGCGGGCGCTTTGGAGCTCTAACTCGTGCGGTATTCTCGTGTCGCTCCAGCCGCGCTTCTTCGCGGTGGGCTTCTGCTCGCGCAGTTTGTTGTCATTTTCCGCGCGTGGCTTCGCGATGCGGGCTTCCTGCGCTAAATCCTGGTGCGCGCCGTTCTTGGCGCCCATCCAAGCTGAGCGCCCGCGCTGGCGCGCCTTCCTCTCGGAAGCCTGGTGTGTGGCCGAGCAGTGGGAGCTTGCTGGGCCCCCTGCGCCCCGTCCGCCGTTGCCTCGCGCCCAACTTCGGGCGATGGTTGGTCTCGCCTTCCTCTGAGGCTGGCCGCTCGTGGCAGCTTTGCTGCTGATGGGTTCGACTATCTTCCTCCGCCCTGGCGAGCTGCTGGCTGCCCGGCGCTGCGATCTCTCGCTGCCTAGCGATCGGTTGGAGGCCAGCGGTGATGCCATCCTTGCCATGAAGGCGCCGAGAGCTCGCCGTGCCTATCCGACGCAGCGCGCCCGCTGCTCGGATGGGTCGTCGGTGGGGGTTTTGGAATTGGCGTTCCAGCACTGGTGCTCCCAGATCCGCTCGCGACCTCTGGGCAGAGCGGCTTCCGCGCTCGGTGGGGCCATCTGCGTTCAGCCATGGGCGCCCCGCTAACAAACGCGGCCTGCGGGCTGAACCTCGCGCCCGCCTTTTCGCGCGGTTCAGGGGCGGCGGACTTCTATGTGGCCGCGGGGGACGTTCCTAGCTTTATCTGGCGTCTCCGCTGGCGCCGTGCCTTTTGCGCCGTGCTATCTCCAGGCCTCCGCCGCTTCGTCCGTCGTGCCCGCCCTTCCTGCGTGAGCTCGTGCGCGCGTTGCGCGCTGCGCTGCCGCTAGCAACCGCCATGTTGCCTCGTTTCTTGCCGTGGGCCCTCCTCGAGGGCCCGCGCGAAGTGCGGCCGCCCGTCCTTGTTGCTGCGCGAGTGCGTTGAGCATGGGCATGGCTGCGCGTTTTCTTCAGCGCGCCGGGAAATCTTCCCCGCTGAGCGGCGCCGCTCGGCTCGCGCGCGCGCCCGGGGGCTCGGGCCCTCTGGGCCCTCTGCGCGCGCCGGCCGCGTCCTCCGCCCCGGGCCCGATCGCGTGCGTTTTTTTTTTTTTTTTTTTTTTTTTTTTTTTTTTTTTTTTTTTTTTTTTTTTTTTTTTTTTTTTTTTTTTTTTTTTTTTTTTTTTTTTTTCTCTTCATCTTCTCGTTTTTTATATAATTGTATATATATACATTGTTTCTTTGTTGTTATGGTTTTTACATTGTTTTTTCATTTAGTTATTTCTTTCCCTCTCTCTCTCTCTTTTGTTTCTCTCTCTCTGTGTCTATCATTCTATCTCTCTCGCTTTTCATATCTCTCGTTCTTTATCATTTTTTTTTTCTCTCTCTCTCTCTCTTTCTCTATCACCGTCTTTCATTTTTCTTCCTCCCTCTGTCTGTCTGTCTGTCTGTCTGTCTGTCTGTCTGCCTGTCTCTCTCTCTCTCTTTTTCTCTCTCTCCTTCGCTACCTCCCTCCCTCTCCCCCTCTCCTCTCCTTTCCTCTCCTCTTTTTTCTTCTCCTCTCCTCTCCTCTCCACTTCTCTTTTTTCTTCTCCTCTCCTCTCCTCTCCTCTCCGCTCCGCTCCTCCCCTCTCCTCTCCGCTCCTTTCTTTTCCTCCGTTCTCTTCTTTCCTTTCCTTTCCTCTCCTTTCCTTTCCTTTTCTCTCCTCCTCCTCCTCCTCCTCCTCTTCTTCTTCTTCTTCTTCTTCTTCTTCTTCTTCTTCTTTCTCTCCTTTTCTTTTCTCCTTCCCTCGCCTGTCCTCCCCTCCCTGCCTCTCCTTTTCTCTCCTCACCTCTCCTCTGTTCTCCTCTCCTTCTCCTCTCCTCTCCTTCTCCTCTCCTCTCCTCTCCTCTCCTCTCCTCTCCTCGCCTCGCCTCGCCTCGCCTCGCCTCGCCTCGCCTCGCCTCGCCTCGCCTCGCCTCGCCTCGCCTCGCCTCGCCTCCCTCTCCTCCCCTCCCCTCTCCTCTCTTCTCCTCTCCTCTCCTCCTCCTTTCTCCTTCCTCTCCTCTCCTCTCCTCCTCTCCTCTCTCTCTCCTCTCCTCTCCTCTCCTTTCTCCTTTCTCCTCTCCTCTCTCCTCTCTCTCTCTCTGTCTTTCTGTCTCTCTGTCTCTGTCTCTGTCTCTGTCTCTGTCTCTCTCTTCTCCGCCCGTCGCGCGCGTCCGGGCCTCCGTGGCTTTTCGACCTCCTTCCCTCGCTCCACCCTTTCCTCTCCGAAGGCTAGCGGCGCTGCCTGCTGCGGGTGCTCTTCGGCGCGCGGGGGAATGCTTTCTCTTGTCCTCTCGTTACCGCGCGCGTCGCGGTCGTCAGCAGCTGCTCCGGCCCTGAATCCTCGCGGGGGCTTTGTGCAGGCGCTTGCTCAGGCCGCCGTCGAGGGCGCGGGGGCGGTGCGCTTCCAGGGCTTGCGAGCCTTTCTCTACGAGCGGCTTGTCCCTGGGGCGCGGGACCTGCCAGGCGCCCGTGGAAGTGGCGACAGTCGCGCGCTTCGCAGCCCCCCAAGGGGACCGCGAGATATCCACTGGATCCCCGTGTCCCCCCGCTCCGTGGTCCCAGGAGCCCGCGAACGTGGCGTTGCGCGCGTCGCAGCCCCCCATAGAGCCGCGAGGTCTCAACTGGATCCCCGTGTCCCCCCCGTTCCGCGGGACCTCCCAGGCCTTCGCGAAAATGGCGACGGTTTGGCACGTCGCAGCCCCCCTGGCCCAGGGGGCCGCGAGGTCTCAACTGGATCCCTGTGTCCCATCACTCCGCGGGGCCTCCCGGGAGCCAGTGAAAATGGCGACAGTCGGGCGCGTCGCAGCCTTCCGGGGAGCCGTGAGGTGTCAACTGGATCCACGTGTCCCCCCACTCCGCGGCCAAGTGGCGACAGTTGCGCAATTCGCAGCCCCGCAGGGAACCGCGAGGTCCCAACTGGATCTCCGTGTTTCCCCATTCTGCGGGGCCTCCCAGGAACCGACGAAAATGGCGACAGTTGCGCAAATCGCAGCCCTCCAGGGAGCCGTGGGGTCTCTAATGGATCACCGTGTCCCCCGCCTCCGCGGGGCGTCCCAAGCGCCCGCGACAGTGGCGACAGTTGCGCACTTCGCAGCCCCCAGGGAGCCGCGATGTCTCAACTGGATCCTTGTGTCCCCCCACCTCGCGTGACCTCCCAGGAACCCCAAAAAGTGGCGAGAGCTGCTCTCTTCGCAGTCTCCAGGGGGCCGCGAGGTCTCAACTGTATCCCCGTGTCGCCCCCACTCCGCGGGACCTCCCAGGAGTTCATTTCGCAGCCCCAGGGAGCCGCGAGGTCTCAACTGGATCCCTGTGTCCCCCCCACTCCGCGAGGTTCCCAGGCGGCCACGACAATGGCGACAGTTGCGCATTTCGCAGCCCCCCAGGGAGCTGCGAGGTCCGCGGGGCTTCCCAGGCGGCCACGACAATTGCGACAGTTGCGCATTTCGCAGCCCCAGAAAGCCGCGAAGTCTCAACTGGATCCCCGTGTCCCCCCACTCCGCGAGACCTCCCACGAACGAGCGCACATGGCGACAGTTGCGCAATTCGCAGCCCCCCATAGAGCCGCGAGGTCTCAACTGGATCCCCGTGTCCCCCCCGTTCCGCGGGACCTCCCAGGAGCCACGACAATGGCGACACTTCCGCATTTCGTAGACCCCAGGGAACCGCGATGTCTCAAGTGGGTCCCCGTGTCCCCCCACTCCGCGGAACCTCCAAGGAGCCCGCGACAGTGGCGACAGTTGCGCATCTCGCAGTCCCCCAGGGAGCCGCGATGTCTCAACTGGATCCTTGTGTCCCCCCACCTCGCGGGACCTCCCAGGAACTAACGCACATGGCGACAGTTGCGCATTTCGCAGCCCCGCAGGGAACCGCGAGGTCCCAACTGGATCTCCGTGTTTCCCCATTCCACGGGACCTCCCAGGAACCAGCGAAAATGGCGACGGTTGCGCAAATCGCAGCCCTCCAGGGAGCCGCGGGGTCTCAACTGGATCACCGTGTCCCAGGCGCCCACGAAAGTGGCGACACTTGCGCACTTCGCAGCCCCCAGGGAGCCGCGATGTCTCAACTGGATCCCTGTGTCCCCCCACCTCGCGTGATCTCCCAGGCGCCTGGCCCGCGAAAGTGTCGAGAGTTGCGCATTTCGCAGCCCCCCAAGGGGCAGCAAGGCCTCAACTGGATCCTCGTGCCCCCCCACCCCGCGGGACCTCCCACGAACCCAAGAAAGTGGCGACAGTTGCTCTCTTCGCGGTCGCCAGGGAGCCGCGAGGTCTCAACTGGATCCTCGTGTCACCCCCACTCCACAGGACCCCCCAAGAGCCCACGAAAGTGGCGATTGTTTTTTTTTGTTTGTTTTTCTTTCAGCCCCAAGGAGCCGCGAGGTCTCAACTGGATCTCCATGTCCCCCCACCCCGCGGGACCTCCCATGAGCCCACGACAGTGGCGACAGTTGAAGGTGAGAAGGAGGACGAAGGAGAAAAGGGAGGAAGAAAAGAAGCAAGAGGAGGCAGGGGGCAGGAACTAGGAGGCAGGAGGCAGAGGGGGGAGGCAGGAGAAGGGACGGACCACGCAGTGCTGTATTCAAGACGAGAACCCAACTCAGGAGGGGTGGGAGACACGTTGATGGAGGAGGCCGGGATCGAGGACAGGCGAGCGGCCGAGGCCTGGGTGGAGCAGGAGCAGGATGAGGAAGCGGCCGTCGCGCGGGCAGGACGTCCCTGGGGACCTGCAGGACAGGTTCGGCTCGCTCTTCGACGCCGTCCTCACACTCTTCCAGTCGATGTCCGGCGGCGTCGATTGGGAGGGGGTGTGGAATGGCTTGGGAGCGGTTGGCGCGTTCTACAGGGGAGTGTATTTGATATTTATCGAACCAACCTGCAGCGAGTCACCGCCGACCTGTGCTTTTTGGACTCGCCTGTCATGACCCAGTTTCAGGAGTATTGGCGCAAGACCGATGCCCCTGCATGACAGCGTTCAGTATTCCATATCGTAGCAGCGAGAATTATTAAGCGCTCCCTCCACCTGTCGCCGCAACGACTGGGGAACGCCTGGGCAGGGACCCGCAGGAAGACTTTCAAGGCAAGGCATGGATGGCCGATCGCTGATGTTTACAATGAAAGTTGCGCAAGTGCTTTAAGCCTCTGGGACCGTCTTGGGACTGTCCTGGAGTTGTGTGTTGGGCCTTCCCGGGAGCTTTCCGGGCCTCTCGGGCCATCTTGGGGCCCCATTAGGGCGCATTGGGATGGTATCGAGCCATCTGGCGCCTTCGGAGGCTGCCTTCAGGCCTCTCTGAGCCGTTTTGAACCCTTTGGAGCCTCTTCTGGCCGTCTTGGGGCCACCTTGGGCTATCTTGGGGCCCTCTTGGGTGGTCTTGTGGCAGTCTTGGGTGGCCTTTCTTGTTCGTCTTGGGCTGGCTGGCATTTTGTGCCAATTGGGCCGTCTTGGACGCTCTCAAAACCGAAACGGCGAGAACCCGAACATCGCTCTAAACGTCAGCAGATGTTCCACGGTGTTTGACCCTCGGAGGCCCTCTTGGAGGCCTTGTTGGTCCATCTGAGGCCATGTCGGGGCTGTCTTAGGGCCTTGTCGGCCCATCTTGGGCAATCGTTCGTTATCTTGGACCATCTAGGAGTCAACTTGGGGCCTCTTGGGGGCATCTCAGGACTGTCCTGGGGTTCTGGATCTTAGGGGCAGCTTAGGTGTAGTGTGCAGGTCGCTGCCAGATGTTTTTCCCAACCATCCTGTGGTGTTGGGTTCTCGCCGCGCGTCTCCTCCTCCCGCTGCCCCCCCTCCTTCCTCCTCGTCCTTGCTTTTGCTCTCCGCATGTCTCTGTTTCGGCACACCCCTCACACGTTTCGTGGTCCCAAAGGGAGCTCCACCTTTGGTCCCAGTGGCGCAGCTCGCATGGCGGCCTCGCCCCATTTTGGCACACCCCTTGCACGTTCCGTGGCCCCATAGGAAGCTCCACTTAAGGTCCCAGTGTCGGAACTCGCATGGCGGCCCCGCCCCATTTTGGCACACCCCTCACACGCTTCGTGGCCCCATAGGTAGCTCCACCTAAGGCCCCAGCGTCGGAACTCGCATGGCGGCCTCGCACCATTTTGGCACACCCCTCACGTTTTGTGGCCCTATAGGGAGCTCCACCTAAGGTCCTAGTGGCGGAACTCGCATGGCGGCCTCGCCCCATTTTGGCACACCCCTCACCCGTTTCGTGGCCCCATAGGACGCTCCACCTAAGGTCCCAGTGGCGCAGCTGGCATGGCGGCCCCGCCCCATTTTGGCACACCCCTCGCATGTTTCGGACGTCAGCTGCTGGATTCGTGCCTCGTGGAAGCAGGTGGAGCAGTTTGCGGCGCGCACGAAGCGGTGCAGAAGGGAGGCGACGGCCCTCACCAGGGAGCTGGGCTTCACCGAGTTCGTCCGTGAGGCTTGGCCTGAGGAGCGGCCCGCCCGAGCCTCGCCGTCCTCGACGGTCTGACTGTTTGGCCTCGCGCCGCGGGCGACCCGCGCGCGTCGCTGGGACCCTCTCGGGGCGACCAGCGCGCGTTGCGGGAATTCCGCGCTGCGCTCTGCCCAGAGCCTCGCTCGCCCCCGTCGTCGCTCTGCCCAGCGGCCACAGCCTTGCCCGCCATCGTCCAGCCAGCTAGCTCTCTCTGCTCCGCGCAGCGGACGACCCGCGCGCGTCGCCGGGACCCCTTCGGGGCGACCAGCGTGCGTCGCGGGGGCTCCGTGCGGCGCCTCGCCCGCAGCCATGGACATTGGCGTGCACGGGCAAAGAGGCAGACAAATAATGGGAAAGAAGCGGGCGCGGTCCTCGTGAGGAACGTGCCGACATGGGCGTCGACATCCATGCACGTAGACTCATTCGCACGCGGACTCATTCACAACCAGAGTCACTCGCGTTCAGGTTCACCCGCTCTCAATCTCTCGCACTCAGACCGGCCGTCTTTGTTCGTATTGTGGACCCCGCCACGCATTTCGGCGCGCCCCTTCACGCGGTTCGTGGAGCGCGAGCGAAGATGATATTCACAATTGCGGTATTCACAATTGCATATGGTTGGGTCCTTCGCAAAGTTTTTATTTTGTCGCCGAAGGTCCCATTAGCCAACAAAGAGGTCGACTGGATGGACTTGGTACAGTAAACATAAGATTGGAACGTAGAGAAAGAGAGAGAGAGAGTGATCTAGAATACGGGAGTCCAGAAATGCCTCTCGCAGCCTAGTGCTCCCATGGGGACCAGCGGATTTGTTTTTCCCTCATCGCGATGCTCAACGTTGTGACCGCTGTATTCAAATTCCTCTGGCAACCTCCGCCACACTGCCAGCGCAGCATCGAAGTCCATACAGCATGATTCGTCCATGCTCTCCCAGCAGGCTCGTTATAACGATCTTTGGGGTTCCCAGGGAGGCAGCGCGACGATGCTGTAGCATGTCGAGGCTGTGCCTTTACATGAATGGCGCGGTGTCATCTACGGGCTTCTTTCGTGGGAGGGCGCTTGCCCTGGAGTCGGCAAGTGCCGTAAAACTGTCCGCGAGTTCTCTCGCCTTCCGAGGGTGGACGCCGGCGTGTCGCCCTGCTTTGGGGGGGCCAGCCCGTCGATTTTTCTAGGGCTGATTCGACCACGCTCGCAGTGAACAGCTTTATGTGTAGCGATTCTCTTCCGTCCTCTCCTCTCTCGTCCTCTTCCTCTTCCTCCCGCCCTCCTTCCCCGCATTGGCAGTTTCGATGCTGCTGGATGCATGGGCATGGCGCGGTGGCGTTTGCGGCCGCTGCAGGCCGATCCCGGGTTGCGTTTTCAGCCAGAGCTCGCTCTACTCAGCAGCTGCGGGGCAGCGTCGCGTCTGCCGGGCACGCAATGCCCGCCTTCACGTACTGCATTCTCAGTTGGCGAGCGTGTGCACCCAACAATTCATGTCCCTCGAGGGCTGGCCCTATATTTCGTCCTCCACGGCGCGTGCCAGCTCATCTCGGCTACCGCGCTGCCCAGCCCTTTCTCCTCTCCACCTCTTCCATTTTATTGCCATCGGTTGGCGCTATGTAGCCGTGCAAATCTCGAGATGTTTTCGGGATGCACTCGAAAAGCTGCAGTCCAATGTTGAGCGACCGGCACGAAAACTTCAGGCTGAGCTCTCCTAAGCAGTTGCCTGGTCCCCCGGCCCCCCCCTCCTCTGTCCGTGCCTCCCTGCCTGCTCCCTCGTCCTCCTGCTGTTTGGGTCTCCTCGGTCTTCTCATTGGCACGGTGGCCGCCTGACCATTGTATCCGGAATGGTTTTGTAATGCTCGAGGTCTCCTTTCTCGACCTTTTCGCACCAATAGCTATAACATGTTGGCATGGGGTTGTTGAACAAATCTTTGGGGCCTCTGGGAAGCCTTTTACACCTTGCTCAGCGGCCTTTTGGATGTTTCTGTAGGACGGGTCTTGGGGCCGCGTTGGAGCCCTCCTGAGGCGGTCTGGAGTTGTGTTGTGGGTTTTTTGGGCCGTCTTCTGTGCAGTTGTGAAGCGTATTGGATCTTTTATTCTAGCTTCTTTGAAGTTTTCCCGCGGCCATCTTGGACAGACCAGCTTCGAGAGAAACCCTAACATGACGTCGTTCGGTTTTGATGCCACTGGCACCCCAGTGCCTTTTTTGTGGCCTTACTAGGCGCCCCTTGCTTGGGGTCTGTTGGGTGCATACAGGGTTGTTTGCACCGAGCAGGGCTTGCGGGCGCCTCGTGCGCTGGCTCGCGTTTCTGCATTTCCGGGTATTCGCCCGATTCCCGCCCGTGGGCGTCTCGTGGGCGCCTCGTGCGCTGGCTAGTGTTTTTGGTGTTCGGCCCATGCCTGCCCGTGGGCGCCCCGTGCGCCGTCTGGCTGGCGTTTTCAGATGCACACATAGTTTCCGCTGCATCGTTCTCCCACTTGTTGCATATATACATATATATACATACATATATATATATATATATATATATATATAGAGATATACAAATATATAGCCAGCACTACACGCGTAGTGCACCACACAGCTTGCACCACATGTCTTGCACCGCATTTCTTGTACCACTTAGCTTGCGTCACATGTACTGCGCAACAACCACTGCCCATCGAGATTGTAATAACCCACTTTTGGGGTCCAGGCTGGCAATGGGGTCTTCGACCCACATGGCTGATATCGGGGCCGTCTGGTCGGTTCTGGAGGCCGTCCTGGTGCCCTCTCGTGCTTAGTGGTTTTGGGCTGTCCGAGGGAGCATGACACCCGAAGGCCTCCGCGGCGAAGTGGGCGGTGGCCCTGCAGGGCCCATGCCGATCTGAACGACTTTTCCTTCGATATGGATTATGGCCGAGCCGATTCGATTCGATTCGGATACTCCGACGATCCGGTGCGGCCCGATGCATGCGTGTCCCTGTTGTGAATGTTGTGGCAGCCGATCAGATTCCCATTCCGTGCTGATGCAGCCCGCTCTGACGCACGTTCCGATTTTATTTGATTTTCCGATTCAAGGATGGATGATCCTGTCTAGACTTCCTTGTAGACATTTCACCAGACAGCTGACGTACATCCTATCACGCCCCACAGTTCCCAGGTACGACGGCGGATTTATCGAAAGCACAATGGCGCGCTCGATGAACGATCGCGGCCTAGTTGTGCAGAATGAGCTTATGGAGAAGAAGGATTTTCTTCAGCGCATGAGAACGATATTCCGGGAGCTGGATTGCGATCTCGACGGCACGGTCACTGTGGAGGAGCTGCGGACGCAGATGCTAGACCCCGAGATCGGCGCCTACTTCAGTCAGCTCGGGATGGATCCCGACCAGGTTGACAAGTCGGCAAGCTCTTCTTCCCCATCCCTCTTTTTCCTCCCTCCTCCCTTCTCTCATTCCTCCTCGATTGAGGAGTGCAGACAGTGGCAGTTTCCATTTGGATATCTCAAAGCATTTGGGTCGATGCTGACCTTCCCCAGGGTTTGCCCGGTCCCATGCTGACCATTGTGGGTCCCATGGACTCTTGTCACCTCGTCTCCCTCTCCTCGTCGCCCTCTCCTTCCCACTAGTCGTCTCGTCCTTCTCCCTCCAGCTCCCATTCCCGCTCCCTTCTCCCTCTTCCTCATCTCCTGCTCCCCCGCTAAACCCCGCGGCTGCCCGACGCCGGCCCCCCTGAGTGAGCTCGCAGCCCGCTGGCCATCTTGCGAGGCCAGGGCCTCGCCCCCTCCGCCCTGAACGAGCGTTCCGCTCCGTTCCGCTTCCCTCCTCTTGTCTCCTGGGCCAGGTGGGCAAGCTCTTCCTCCTCCTGGACAAGGACAAGTCGGGCTCTCTCGATCCGGAGGAGCTTCTCCTGCTCGCGCGGCCGCGAAGCTCCTCCTCCTCCCTCACCGTCCCTCCTCCCTTCCTCCTTTCTTCCTCCTCCCTCCTCCCTCCCTCCTCCTCCTCCCTCACCGTCCCTCCTCCCTTCCTCCTTTCTTCCTCCTCCCTCCTCCCTCCCTCCTCCCTCCTCCCCCTCCTCCCTCACCCTCCACTGCGCTCGGCGTCGATGTGCGAGCGCCAGTGAACGATCCTCCTCCTTCTCCGCCTTCCTGCTTGTTACAAGACATCTTCTCTCCCTGTCGCAAACCCAGTGTCGGTAGGGCGGGCCGGGCGTTTCGTCAGAGACTTTCTCGCTATTTATGATCCTGAAGCTTGAGAGTCTGCATCAGTTTCACGGATAGAGGGCGGGCCTATCTGAACATTTAATTTTATCGCTTCAGCGCCGCGCGCATGCGTTTTACAGGTTTGCAGCAGTGTCTGAAAAGAAGCAACTGCCCAACGCCTCAAAACACCGAAGAAACTTCACCGATTTTTGAATTTTGGCTTCCGACAGGGCCTTCCTGGAGGCCCTTTTGGAGCCCTTTTGTGGGCCGTCTTGGAAGCCTCTTGGAGGATTCTCGATGAAACCATCTTGGTTCGTCTTGGGTGCATTTTAGGCGGTCTTGAGTACATAGTGGGGCCATCTTGGGCTCTCTTGGGGCCGTCTTGGCAGTCTTGGAGGCGTCTTGGAGGCATCTTGGCGGCCATCTTGTGCCATCTTGGCGGTCTTGGAGGCGATTTGCACAACGGGAGACGCAAATTCGGCGGGTTTCGGGGTGGCTGCCGCAATGAGCCGAACCCCCCAGGGAGCAGTCCCAAAAAACCAAGTACCTCTAAGAAATCTCGAACGCCAGGTACCCCTATGATAAATCAACAGGGGGCGGCGGATCGAATATGCCTACGGCGAATCACCGCCGCCCCCTGCCTTGGGGAATCGCCCATGTGGCCGAGCGTTGTGGCAAGAGCTCTGCCAAGCTATCGGACCTTGTGTTCCCCCAGACGTTGTGGAAACCCTTCGGGGAACACTTGGTGAAGGATGGCGGGGAAGATCAGTAGGAGAGGGAGGATGAGGAGGAGGAAGAGGAGAAGGAGGAGGAATGAGAAGCACATTAAGAAGCAGCATAATAAGCATAGCACTAATAGCAATACTACTAAGAATACGAATCATACTACGAACATTAACACCAACATCAGTACTAATAATTTGATTACTACTGTGACTGAACATAATACTGAGAAATATAATAAACATAAGAAGACGAGCCATACTAATACTAAGAGTAAGACTAAGACAACCACCACGCATACACATTATACCAATACTACTCATATTATATTGTTAAGATTACTAATCTTCATACTATTATTACTATTATTTTTAGTATACTATTTGTTGTTATTATTAGTGCCATCATTATTCTTATCATTACTGTTATTATTCTTATTGTTATAATTATTGATCATAGCACTATATGGTAATCCTAATCACAGATACTATGAATCATGATAAGAAGACGAATCATACTAGTAATGATAAACGAAGATGAGGAGGAGGCGGAGGAGGAGGAGCAGGAAGAGGAGGAGGAGGAGGGGGAGGAGGAGGAGGAGAAGGAGGAGGAGGAGGAGGAGGAGGACGAGGACGAGGACGAGGACGAGGACGAGGAGGAGGAGGAGGAGGAGGAGGAGGAGGAGGAGGAGGAGGAGGATAAGCCTCTGGGGGCACTCTTGGGGCCTCCTGGGAGCTTCCTGGGGGCCTCTTGGAGGCATCTTGTGGGCCTCCTTGGGCCTCTTGGGGGCCTTCGGGGGCTTCTCGGGGGCCTTTGGCCGTCTTAGGGTATTCCTGGCCCGTCTCGCGCTGTCGGAAGCTGTCTTGGAGACCTCTCTGGGCCG